TGACCCAGGCCCTCCCAAGCTGTGCTGTGTTTTTCTCTCTCCTCTACTTCTATCTATATATTTCTCACTTCTCCTTCCTCAAGAGTGCCCTGGGGGGAAAGGAGGAGCTGACCTCCCTCAGTAGAGTACCACAGAATATCTGACAAGACTACAATAGGAATTACTTCAGGGTCTGGAGAGATGGCTCAGCAGGTAAGAGCACTAGCTGCTCTTCCACAGGATCTGGGTTCAATTCCCAGCACCCATATGGCAGCTCATGACTATAACTCCAGTTCCAGGGGACTTGGCATCCTCACATAGACATACATGCAGGCAAAACACCAGTGCACATAAAATAATTATTAAAAATTATTCTGAACAGGAGCTTCAATCAATAGGTATATTTTAAAAATCATCCCCAGTTGCTGAAAAAAAAAAGATTGCTATAATAATTTTTAATTCCGGCCGGGCGTGGTGGTGCACGCCTTTAATCCCAGCACTCGGGAGGCAGAGGCAGGCGGATCTTTGTGAGTTCCAGGCCAGCCTGGGCTACCAAGTGAGCTCCAGGAAAGGCGCACAGCTACACAGAGAAACCCTGTCTCGAAAAAACCAAAAAAAAAAAAAATAATAATAATAATTTTTAATTCCTTTCCTCTTTCAGGCTATAGTCATTTGCAGGAATGAGCCAAAGCTACCAAAATTAAAATTCACTCCAAGTAGTAACAAGCCATATGAACTAAATTTTATTAGTTTTAAGGCAAATAAGTGCCCTAAACAGGTTCTAACCTTTAAAAAAAAAAAGTTTTAACTATAGATAACAAACATTCTTTTTATCTAGCCACCAAAATATGAACTAGGACATCCTTATAGAAGAGGGTAGAGGGTGATGGTAATTTCATACTATAAATGTTGGCATGTGGCATGTTCTTTCTATAATGAATCTTCTAAAGTGGACTGGCCACTAAAAAATCCACATCAATATTTGCTGACTAATTTCCACTCTACAAATCACCAAATACTTCTTGGTAATAAATATTTACCTTTACTATCACCTAACTTTCAATTACTTTTGTATATTGACGTTGAATGAATACATGTAAAAATTCATGATACTGCCGGGCGGTGGTGGCGCACGCCTTTAATCCCAGCACTCGGGAGGCAGAGCCAGGCGGATCTCTGTGAGTTCGAGGCCAGCCTGGGCTACAAAGCGAGCTCCAGGAAAGGCGCAAAGCTACACAGAGAAACCCTGTCTCGAAAAACCAAAAAAAAAAAAAAAAAAAAAAAAAATTCATGATACTGAACATGTCCTACTTAGGTCAGCAGATGCCCATCACTCTCCTGCAGTCATTAAAACTAAAACAAATCAAACAAAAACCCAACAACAGCAGTTTTCTCAATGAAAATCAAACAAAATCCACAAATCCCTAACCAAGGTGTGTTCTATACTTAGATATTGCTAAAATGCTTCGCTTTCTACACTTAGATATTGCTAAATACTTTCTTCTCGGTTGATGGAGTTGAGCCACAGTAACATTTGTGACTGGAAGGGAAGATGAAATGACTCCATTAACCTAGAGTGCTGCAGCATATGGCAATCATAGGAGGTAGACTAGCTGTGTCGGACAAGAGCAGAAGCAAGCCATGTGGCACAGACGTTATCAATTACCACACATGGTGACCATGCTGACACAATGCATCTTTTCCAGAAAGGAAGTAACTTGGGCATATGAAGTCATTTGCTGCCTTGTGAAAGAGTAATCTATAAATGACATTTCTGGCACCAAGGTAGCACACATGGTTTTCAGTAATTAAACCAAGGATTAAGATTTGAATCTTTACTTCGTACCTAAATAACGGTACGTTATTTGCAAAGGCAGCAATCCAAGTATATATGCAAAATAAGCATGAGTCTTTCAAACATAAAATTATTTTCAAATCCTGGCATGGGGGTACTTTCCTGTAATCCTAGCACTTAGGGTGGAGGCAAGAAAATCCCAGGCTAACTTGAATTACATGCAATACTCTGTCTCAAAACAAAACAAAACAAAACACCCATTGGCTGGAGAGATAGCTTAGTGGTTAAGATCACTGGTTGTTCAATTCCCAGCATCCACATCTATCCACCAAAATATGGAGTAGGACATCCTTACAGAAGTGATGGTAATTTGCTACTATAAATGTTAGAACGTGGCATGTTCTATAATGAACGATTCTTCTAAAGTGAATTACTAAAAAATCCACATCAATATTTTCTCACTAATTTTCACTCTACAAATCAGAGAGTACACAACTTTCTATAACTCCTACAGGACCCAATGGCACAAGGTACCCATGTGGTACAGAGATGTGCAGGCAAAACACCCGTACACATAGCTTTACAAACCAACTATTCTTCAAATATCCTCAAATCATCACATGAAATGCTTAATTTTTAAATCACTGAAAGTATATGCCAATAATTTCAAAACTCTTTAGGAATAAAGCCTGTGGGGAAAGTTCAGGATTAGATCTAAGGAAATAAACTTTTAATTATTTTTTTGTTTTGAAAAGTATTTTATTGATAAAAAAAACTTGTTAAAATTAACATTGTGAACCAATAGCTGTGGAGCCCCCATGGTACTTAACTAGGCCCTCTGGATATGTGAGACAGTTTAGCTTAAACTGTGTGCCCGCCCCCCCCCCTTCCCCAGCAGGGGATCGGGATCCATCCCTAGTGCATGAGCGGGCTTTTTGGAGATTAGTGCACAGCCTTGGTGCAGGGGGTAAGGGCTTGGAACTGCCTCAGCTGAATGTACCAGACTCTGCTGACTCTCCATGGGAGACCTTGACTTGGAGGAGGTGGGAAGGGGGGGAGGGTTGGGGGGAAGGCTGGGGGGTGGGAAGAGGAAAAAAGAAGAATCTGCGGTTGGTATGTAAAATGAATAGAAAACTTCTTAATAATAAAAAAAGGGAAAAAATATCATATAGAGTGATGTTTATTGGAGATATATTGGAGATATTTTTTTTAGGTTTTTATTTTCTTTTTGTTTTTATATGCTAACCAAAGCTTCCCCTCCCTCCCCTCTTCCCAGTCCCCTCCCCCACAGTAATTACTTCTTCTAAAGTAAAAAAATTGCAATGCAAAGAAACATGGTAAGCACAGTGCTTTAAGAGAATCTACTGGGTGTTGGCGCCATGGTGCACACTTAAATGCAGCACTGGGAGGCAGAGCAGCCCTTCTCTGTGAGTCCCCACGCCCAGCCTGGGATACGAAGCCTGACCTCCACTGCTGTGTAGCAGAGAACAACCTTGAGCTTCTGATCCTCCTGCCTCCATGCCTGGTTTATATCTTGAAGAGCTCTATGCCTGGCTCTAAGAAAATGTGATATACATTCCTTCAGATGGGTGCTTCATGGACTAAGAGAAACTGAAGGCTTGGAATAGTTAGCAGTAAAAAATAATCAGAGTACAGAAAGAAAAAAATAACAGTATCAATGGGAATAAAGAGAAACAAAAGACACAAAACAGGAAAATTTGAAATTCTTTGAAAAGCATAGGAAGAGGGGCTAGAGAGATGGCTCAGAGGTTAAGAGCACCAATTGCTCTTCCAGAGGTCCTGAGTTCAATTCCCAGCACCCACGTGGTGGCTCACAACCATCTGTAATGAGATCTGGCACCCTCTTCTGTGTACATAATAAATAAATCTTAAGAAAAAAAAAAAAAACAGTATAGGAAGAAACAATTTGGGAAGATCTAGCAGCCTATCCAGAAAGGCTCATGGAAAACATGCCAGTTTTCTACTGCTTCAAAACAACTGTTCTAAAACTTTGGTATCTAGAATTGAAATCCTTTTACTTTTCCACAACTCCGTATGTTGACTGAGCTTGGCTAAGTAGTTCTCCTGTGCAGCTCTCCAAAGCTACAGTCCACTTTGTGGACTGACTAGGTGAAGGTTCAACAGGGCAAGATAACTGTAGCTGAAGTTTTCCTGGTCCTGCCGGCTCCCTTGGCCCTATGCCCCTTGGTCCCAAGTAAACACACAGAGGCTGGTATTAAAACTGTTTGGCCATTCACATTATGCTTTTTTTTTTTCCGTTTACATTGAAAACACTCAAGTAGAAAATGATTAATTACAGGAGGAGATGGGTCACATGTAGCTTAGGAAGGATTCAATGCCCTATGTACTCAAGGCTGTCCTTATTTCCTGATTCTCCTGCCTTTGCCTCCCAAATGCTGAAATTTATTTTTTTTAAATATTCTATTCTTTGAATGTTTGCCTTCATGTATGGGTATGCATTGAATATGTACCTGGTTCCTGTGGAGAACAGAAGAGGGAGCTGAATCCCCTGGAACTTAAGTTACACAAGGTGTGAGCGGCCATGTGGGTGCCAAGTACTGAACTTGGGTCCTTTGCAAGGGCAGCAAGCGCTTTAACCACTGAGCCATCTCTACCGTTCTAAGTGCTGGGATTTCAGTTCCATCACCACACCTATCAGCCCTAGATGTCCTGGAACTCACTCTGTAGACCAGACCAGGCTGGCCTCAAACTCAGAGATCTGCCTGCCTCTGCCTGAGTGCTGGGACTAAAGGCATGTGCTGGGGGTGAAGAGCTTATTAAGCCATTTTATTTATTTTTGTCTTCATTTAACATTTTTTTCTAAGAAGTAGTGTATTTCCTATTATTGAACCAGTTAGTTTCATAATTATACTTTTCTCTTTGAGCCTCAATTTATATATATGGCTTATTGACATAAATTCTCTTTACATCACTGTTTGGTTTTTGTCCCTTATCTTGCAACCTATTTTTGAAAGTTGGTAGGATATAATCTCCTTGAGTTCTCCCTCCATCCCTTTTGAAAGAGTATAATTTTTATATCTTCATAAAATAAATTACACATAAGAACCATATTTAAAGTAACAGAATGCTTAAGAACTCCCCTCTCACTACACTAATGGAAGTCGAATGGACAGCTGAAGTATCACCAAAGCCTATGCCAAAGGTGAACTGGAACTGAAGACAAGCAAAGAAATATACTACGGTCAAAAATACATGAAATCTTGTCAACATATTTTATGCCAAAATCAGTTCTAAGGGAGCAAAATGTTCTGTAAATTTTAACAGTAACAGTAAATTTAGGCACTGATGTTAACTAAAAATACATATTATAAACAGTCAGCTTCTCTCCTGTAACTCAGTATGTTTTTTTAAAGCAATAGAACACTTCAACTTTGTCTCAAAACTGAAATTCAAGGTATTACAAGAGTAATCTTAGTATTATTTTTTATCGTTTTATTTATTTTTGACACAGGGTCTTGCTGTACAGCTCAGGCTAGGCTGGAACTAGCAGCAATCCTCATGCCTCAGTTTTCTGAGTGCTGAGATTACAGGTATGTAGCAACCACACCTCTGTGATCATGAAAGTAAATGTCACTTTTTCCTATATTTTCAGTGCTGATAATTTCCAGTGCCTGTCTGTCTCATACTGCTTCTATAAAAATAGAAACCAGAAAAATCAATCATTTATAAACAATCTTGTTTATAAATAAGGGCAGTGAAAATAAATATCAAAGAAAAATAAAGATGCCCAAATTGGCATTTCCTGAAGTCTCAGGCAGAGTAAGAATGTGGGTCCTCTAACTTTAGTCCTATCAGATCATACTGTAATTTTCCCACCAATCACAGAAACTTGATTAAGAACATTATTGACAAAAATAAAGCACAGTGGGGCTGGGAGACAGCTCAGCACTCAAGAGCATGCACTTACAATCCTGGTGCTCCTATCTGGAGGCAGAGACAGGAGAATTCCCGGGAGCTTGCAGACCAGCAGGCTTGGCCAATGCAAAGAGAGGCTGTCTCAAACATGGCAGAAAGCAAGGACCAACAAGGCTGTCCTCTGACCACCTCATATGGACTTCGGATCACATACAACCACATTCACGCACATACACAAATGTGCACACAAACACACATGCATCACAGAGGCAAGAGGTTAGCAGAATGATATGTGTGTGTGTGTGTGTGTGTGTGTGTGTGTGTGTGTGTGCGTGCGCGCGTGCGCGCGCATGTAGAGGCCTGACCACATCTCAAAGTGTCATTCCCCAGGAGCTATACACCCTGCTTTTAAGATGGCCTCATTGGCTTGAAGCCCAGGTTCAGCTGGGCTGGCTGGTTCATGAACCCCAGTGTTCTGTCTCAGGTTTCTTTCACACGGGTTCCAGCGATGGAACTCATATCCTCATATCTGCGGCAAGCATTTTACTCAATGAAGTATCTCTCAGACATCGATGGAATGATCTCTACATTTTTCTCTAGTAATATAGAAATGTAATAACTATATTTAAAATATTAAGTCTGTATCCTAAAAATAAACAAAACCAAGTACTGAATTAGGTTATGTGAGTTTTTAACTTTATATTGTATGTCATAACAAACACCTAAACTTATTTGGAATTAAAATGATTTTCCAAGTACAGCAATGGAAAATGTAAATTTCTAGAATTCATTCTTCCCGAAATGAGTTTTTAAAGTAAATTATATTATCAGCTTATGTTGTACTAGTTGTGTCCACAACATAGTAAAACATGGAAATGACATGAAAAACACTGGAAATGAGCACATGATATACCTATAATAAAATGTCTTCATGAAGTGTGGCGGTGCACACCTTTACCCCAGCGCTTGGGAGGCAGAGGCAGGTGGATTGCTGTGAATTGGAGGCTGCCAGCAGGGTCTACAAAAGTGAATTCCAGGATAGCCATAGCTGTTGTTACAGAGAAACCCTGTCTTAAAAAACAAAAAACAACAACAAAAGTCCTCATGAAACCCATTACTATGTACAATAAATATGCCAACTAAAAACAACAAGCAACATTGGGGCCTGGAGAGCTGGTTCAGCAGTTAAGAACGTTCGCTGCTCTTGCAGAGGACTTAAGTTCCGTTCCCAGCACCTCTACGGTATCTCAGAACTGCCTGTAACCAGTTCCAGGGATCAAACACTCCCTCCTGAGCTTTATAGGCACCAGGCACACACAGGACACAGATAAATAAGCAGGCAAAACACTTATAAATCTTGAAAGTATTCTGTGTGCATACAAATGTATTTGTGTTAGCTTTTCATCACTATGGCTGAGATAAAAGGTTCCTTTTGGCTCAGTTTTAGAGGTTGTAGCCTATGATCAGACAAGATCATTTCTTCTAGGCCTCCGGTGGGTTTTCCAGATGGCGACGGCAGATGTACACATGACAGGACTGAACTGCTCACCTCAGGACCAGGAAGCAAGAGAAAAGAGACTTGGGTCCCACAATCCTTTTTGAAGTGCACCTTTCAATGATCTCAAGAATTCCCATCAGGCCCCACTTCTTAGTTTCCATACCTCCCTGGGAAGCAAACTTTTAGCCACATTAACCTTCAATGGATACTTTAAAGTCACACTATCAATATTCACATGTGTACATCAATTACCAGAAAGGGTAATCATGTTGATGACATGAAATAAAAGGAATTCTGTATCTTTTTAATTGATCATACAATCTAACTCTAAGATGAAATCCAAACACAACTACCATCTGCCACATAGACTTGTTTGTCAAAATTAACTGGAGACAGCAAGTAGAGAAAAACACTGGATTTCCCCTCAGAGATAGGGTTTCTTTGTGCAGCCCTGGCTCTCCTGGAACTCACTCTGTAGCCCAGGCTGGCCTAGAACTCAAAGATCGATCTGCCTCTGCCTCCCAAGTGCTGGGATTAAAGAGTGAGTCACCACCAACCAGCATTAGGGAAGGAACATTTTTGGCTCTTGCAGAGGACTGGGGTCTGGTTCCCAGAACCTTCAAGGTGGCTCAGGGTCATTTGTAACTCCAATTCCAGGGGATCCACCAGCCTACTCTGGCTTTTGTAGGTACCAGCACACACATAGTGAACATACACACAAGGGAAAGAGGCCCAGACACAGCTTCTGTGACAGGCTTACTGGCAGGTAACACCCAGACCCAGGAAAAGCCGTAAGCTGACCCCACCCAGAGAGGGCCTGCATCTAAGGGGAAATATCTGACATCCCAAACACTCTAATCATTAGATAAGTTTAGATAAGATGGCCAGATGTCCCTGAGTCTAGCACACATCTATTTCTGTTTTACAGATACTCCTAGACAAATGTCAGCCAATCAGGGTCCTGAACCCTCGAAATCCCCTCACCCCAATCTCTGCTACCCGACCTGAGCTCAGGGCTCACTGCTCTCTCCGCTGTGTCCAACAGACAGAAAGACCAAGCTTGGGGCTTGAAAATAAAGGCTCTTTACTTTTACATGTGGTATTCAGTCTCTGTGGTGGTCTTTTTGGGGTCCCCGAGATCTGGGCATAACACCATACACAGAAAAATAAATTAAAAAGAAAATTAGAAGTAGAAAATCAACTCCCCAAAAAGTTTTCCTCTTACTACATGTACACCATGGTATAGGCACACAGGGGGAAAAAAGGGGGGAGCTTTTTTCAGAGAAGATTCTGTAACTATTTTCCTATTCACATCATATAATTCTGATTCATTCCTGCCATAGTAAGTGTTTACACTTTAAAGAGTATAAGCAGCTACTTATGTATACACAATGACTATCACATCACAAGTCTAACTGTATGCATTGACACTAGTTGGGGGTCAGCATTCTTCCTCTGGCTCTCGTGACCGTTTCCGGAAATTCGAAGAACCTCCTGTCTGTGATGAAGAAGCAGGGACAGCAGCATCTCTAAATCCCTGAGGCTGCAAGATGAAGAATACAAATACACTTAAAGAACATTTAAAATAAAGACTAATTTCCAAATAGTCTTTTTTGTTGTAGTTTGAGACAGGGTTTCTCTGTGTAACAGTCCTGGCTGTCTTGCAGACCTTGTAGACCAGGCTGGCCTCAAACTCACAGAAATCCCCCTGCCTCTGCCTCCCAAGTGCTGGGATTAAAGGCATGTGCCACCACTGCCCAGTTTTCCAAAGTGTTTAAATAACACTAGATAAGAATACTCTCGGGGCTGGAGAGATGGCTCAGAGGTTAAGAGCACCAACTGCTCTTCCAGAGGTCCCGAGTTCAATTCCCAGCACCCACATAGTGGCTCACAACCATCTGAAATGAGACCTGGCACCCTCTTTCATATATATAATAAATAGATAAGTCTTTAAAAAAAAAAAAAAAAAAGAATACTCTCTAAGACTCATAGTTCAGTGGTGAAACCCAATGCCCTTTTGCCCAGTTAACAACAAAAAGTTCTCTAAAAAGAACCTAGTAAGTCTTACGGTACCTGTTGGGAGAAGTGGAAAGAAATAGTTTGTCCTGCTACCTAGGTGTTCTACAAATCATTTTCACAATAAAATATTCTGCATAGCATGTGGCAGGCATCTCTAATAGCAGTCTTCAGGCAGTTAAAGCAGGAAGATCAAAAGTTCAAGGCCAGCCTAAAATACATAACAAGATCTCTTCTCAAAAAGATAAAACAATTAAATGCAGGTTAGTGTAAGTTAAGTAAGGGTAGTATAAAACTAAGTGGAGAATTTATTTTCAGAAAAGCTTTCAATTTTTCTTTTTATCCTTATAAAAATAAGATGGCTGCTTAATGTGGTGGTGCACACCTTTAATGCTAGCACTCCCAGAGGCAGAGTTAGGTCAATCTCTTGAGTGTGAGGCCAGCCCAGTCTACAGAGTATGTTCCAGGACAGCCAGGGCTACAGAGAGAGACCCTATCACTAAAACAAAAACAAAATCAAGGGCTGGAGAGAGTTGGCTCAGTGGTAAGGGCACTTGTTCTGGAGGAAGACCCAAGTGTGAATCCCAGCCCCCACTTGGAGGCTCACCCTCCTCGGGCACCAAGCATACCAAGGGTAGACAGATGCAGACACACAAAACAAACTGTAAACTATATTAAATAAACAATGACGCTCAAGGTCAGGCTTAATTTTAAAGAGAGTTTGAGGCCAATTTGGGCCTGGAGTCCAATGATGCGAATGCTCAGGAAATTAACATTTCAAAGTGTTACAACTATCTACAGACCAAAACTACCAAGATTAACACTTCCCTTCTGGTTGCTGTTGCTGGTACGTTAAGATAGGACCTCATGCTGACTATGTTGGTCTACCTCAGTCTCCTAAGTTCAGGCGTGTGCCATCATGTCCAATTGTATCTTTTCCTTTTGAAAACTTCCAACATGAAAATCTTTGTAGATTTCACAGATGCCATGGAACATACATAAATATTTCCTCTGTTCTCAAAGATCAATTTCAGTTCAACTCTGACTACAGTACTCTGTAAGTACTGTTTTGGTGATGTTCTCACATCAAAACTGTCCTCAAATATGCTTCCCGCCTACAAGATTAACAGAAACCATTTGTACATGACCTTAGATAATTACTGCCCACCAACACCAAAATCCCACTCTGATTAAATACTGACTGTGATTTGAAATGGTACTGTGGACTCCTTCTGGCTTGGTGACTTGTACAATGTTGCAAACCTGCTTGAAGAAAAGAAAGTACATATAAACATTGCCTTAATTAGGTCACATGGCTGATATCATAATTTAAATGTGCAGAGTCCTATACTATACTTCTATCAAGTGTTCTCAAGGACACAAATGTAAAGAAATATTTAAAAAAAAAAAAAAAAAACCAAAAAACTTTCCCCACAGGGTACCATGGCAGATGCCTTTAGTTTCAGGTAAGCAGAGGTAGGATTTTTTTGAGCCCAGGAGTTCAAGACCAGTCTGTATCTTAAAATAAAACAAAATCCTTCTTAAAAAAATACTTGTTTTAAAAATGATAAGTGGTGCTGGTTACGGTGCCGAAAGGTCATGGGGCATGAGCCACAACAAAACCCAGTATCAGAGCTTTATTATGAGGAAGGCAGTTGGGGGGCAATGGGGGACACGACACAACGAAAGGACCAGGCCTGGGGAAGAAGTATGTGCAGAGAACAGAGAGAGAGAGGCAGTGGGAACAGGAAAGAACAGAGAGGAAGAAGGAAGAGTCTGTGTCCGGCTTTTTAAGGATTCCCATGAACATGCGCAGGTGGGCTTAGGGAGCTACACCATGCGCTGATTGTGTGACCACGCCACAATATCCCTTGCTTAGCTGCTGAACTGTGCATGTGTGCCCATGCAGCTGGAGTGGCAGCAGAATCCTAACAATACTTCCATGCAAGCATGCAATAACAAGTACATCCTATACAGTTGTTTATATACATAAAAATTTAAAGCAAATTCAATGACAAATTCAAATAAATTATTTCATAGGCAATGCTACTTATGCTAAAAATTAAAAGTGTGGAAAATATGTAACAAAAAAGGTACTAATAACACATGAAAATAGTTATATGATCACTCATCTTAAGTTATAGGACCACACATTAAGTTATATATGAGCACATATTTTATGTGATCACTTAAGTCATATGACCACACATTATGTATTATATGACCACACATCTTAAGTGACATATAGAGAAGTCAGCTGCACTGGGAATATAGTAGTGTTTGATGAACACGACTGAGGTTCTGGGTTCAACCCACAGCACTGCCAAAAAAGAAAAATGGTGCTGGGTGGTGTTGGCACACGCCTTTAATCCCAGCATTTGGGAGTCAAAGGCAGGCAGATTTCTGAGTTCCAGGACATCCAGGGCTACACAGAGAAACACTATCTGCAAAAACAAACAAAAAAGAAAAACAGGAAAGAAAGAAAAAGAAAAAAGAAAAACTGCTAGACGCCAAAAATTAATAGTGGTGGTCATGGTGGCACACACCTATAATCTTCACATTTAGAGAGTGAAGGCAGATAGGTCAGGAATTCAAGGTCATCATCACGATATGGAGAGTTTGAGAGGCCAGCCTTGGCTACACCATACTGTCTCCTGGCACCCGCCACACACAAAAAAGTAAGTAGGCATGTACACACGTTTTTAAAGATTTGCTTTTATTATTTTTAATTATGTGTAGGGGTGTGTGTCTGTCTGTGAGTATGTACACATAGATGCATGAACTCTCAGAGGCCAGAGGCATCACATCCCCTGGAGATGGAGTTACACAGACAGACAGTTGTAGCCCCCTGATGTTTAGGTTGAGAACAAAATTCAGGTCCTTGGGAAGAACAGCAAGTGCTCTTAACCACTGCACTACCTGTCCAGCCCTGTTTTTATAGTGTAAATAAAACTGAAGGCACATGGAAGCCAGAGGTCGAGTCGGCATCTTCTCTCTCTTTACTCTATTTTTTCTGATAGGGTCTTTTACTGATCGAGGGTTCAACAAGTCTTCTGGATGCGCTGGCATTTCTTCCTCACCTCTCAAATATTATTAAGGACTAGTCTTAACAATCTTCTTCCCAGGGGCCCAGAAGAGAAGCTACAAACGGCAAGAATTATTTTCGGGAAAAAGAATCTAAGTTCACTGAGCTCTTTTGTCCGTCAACTTTATCCCTCTGGGATAAAATTCTATCTACACAGCTTCAGTACGAGTCTCATGCCTGGCTCCTTTCTTGCCTGATTTCTCTCTGCCTTTATCTGCTGTCCCTCTAAGTTCCATCTTAACTCTCATCTTAGTTCTGCCCGTCTGGCTCTTCCTCATCTTCCACCCTCTCATCCTGAAGTTCTCTAGTCAAAATCCTCCTCTCTCCCTATTCCTCTCAGTCTCTCCAAGTCTCTGAGGTATTTAGTTATAAACCCAAGCAACAGCAATCCTCTGGCACAGCAAGGTCACCAAGCTTGAATTCTTATAGGTTCATAAAGGCAGACAAGAGTTTTCCCCAGGCAGTAACCATCAGGCTTTCTTTCACAACCCAAAAGGGGAGTGGTAAAGGAGGAGGTCAACTGAGAGCTAATGATCAGTTAGTATACCAACAAAGGGGGATTTATGTGCTCAATCTACATTCCTAGAAGTGGTTAGATAAAATGTTAGAAGTCTATACTGTTAGTATAAATACCACTAAGGCTGTATAAGAAAGGAGGGTCTCCAAACCCAGAAGGACAAACATGGTATGTACTCACTCATAAGTGGATACTAGATATAAAGCAAAGAACAATCAGACTGCAACCCACAGAACCAGGGAGACAACATAGCAGGGGGGACCCTAGGATGACTGTGGCTTATAATAAGTTTTGGTTTTACTCAAGCCTCGGTGAAACATTTCACTATTAGGATAAGAATTTATACTGTATCAAGCTGATAATAAATAAATAAATAATGAAAAAAAAAAGAAAAAAGAAAAAAAGAAAGGAGGGTCTCAGCTTAAATTGTACAAGAAATAAAGCTATCTACCTGACCTAGGTGACAGGTATTGTTTCCATAAGGGTGTTATCTTAGTTCAGGAGATCATTTGGCCTTGGATGATTGACGGGTCTTTTAGATAAAAACAGTTAGGAGTTCTTGAAAGCACATATAGCATACATGAAAATCATAATCATTGTAGGGATCACCTAATATATATAGAAAAGCTAAAAAATCACCAAGACTTCTTAAGCCATGGTTTGACCTTTGGAAAAGTCCTTGACCTTTCCAAGTAGTAGCTTTTGTGATAGTAGCTGGGTTCCATTACATCTTCCGTGGTATGCAGCACTCACCAGTGCTAGGACTGCAAATGCACACCACCATGCCTGACTTTGTATGTGGTGTTGGGGACCCAAACTCAAGCTCTTATGCCTGCATGACAAGCACTTACAGCCTGAGTCATCACCCAACTCCGCCTTCTCCGCTCTTAATAACTACATTCCCACAGTGTTAACAGCAAGAACACAAAAATCTTCCCAATTTCTTCTGATGAGCTGCTGCTGGCGGTGCACCCCCGAAACTGCACAGATGGAGGGGCTATGAGGACTGCTGTAAGTTCAAGGACCACCTCGGTTACATAACAAGTTTGAGGTGAGCCTGGATAAATCACTCTGTTTAAAAAAAATACTTTTTTTGTGTCGATGCCTGGAACCTAGGGCCTCACACATGCTTAGAGAAGCACTTGACACTTCCCTTAAAATTATTTCTATGGGGCCAGGTGGTGGTGGCGCACGCCTTTAATCCCAGCACTCGGGAGGCAGAGCCAGGCGGATCTCTGAGTTTGAGGCCAGCCTGGGCTACAAAGTGAGTTCCAGGACAGGCACCAAAACTACAAAGAGAAACCCTGTCTTGAAAAACAACAACAACAAAAAAAAAATTACTTCTATGAGGCTGGAGAGATGGCTCAGTGATTGTTCTTCCAGAGGACCCAGGTTCAACTCCCAGTACCTACAAGGGCAACTCACAACTGTCTGTAACTCCAGTTCCAAGGATTCTGACACCATCACACCAAGGCACATAAAATAAAATTCAATGAATTATAACAAGAAATACTTCTAAAACATTTCAGTCATTCACAACGGCAAAAAGATTGAAGCAACAGTGTCTACTAGGAGGTAAATAAAATGTGGAATATAATAAAACGCTTGTTTTTAGGATGAAACTTCTGACATGGCTACAAAATTAAACTTTGAAGAGATTATTCTAAGTGAAATAAGTAAATCAAATATTGTATGATTCCAATTATATTTGGTTCTTGGAGCAGTCAGATTCAGAGATAGAAAGCAGAATAGTGGTTGCCAGGGACAACATTATTGTTTAGTATTGAAGTAAGGGAAGATGAAAAAGTTCTGGAGATAAATGGTAACGAAGGTCACACAAGAATACAAATGTACTTAATGCCAGCAAACCATATAAACACAGTTAAAATGCAGTAAATGTCTATTTTATTTCAATTTTATATAATATAGATTCCAACTTAACAGGAAAACAATCATAGACCTCAGGAATAGGAAAGACATTAGTTGTTTTGTTTTTTTTTGTTTTTTTTTGTTTTTTTTGGGGGGAGGGGGTCGAGACAGGGTTTCTCTGTGTAGTTTTGGTGCCTGTCTTGGATCTCACTCTGTAGACCAAGCTGGCCTCGAATTCACAGAGATCCACCTGGCTCTGTCTCCCAAGTGCTGGGATTAAAGGTGTGCACCACCAATACCCAGCTAGTCATTAGTTTCTACACAACATAATACTAATTCGTTTTCTTTTTCTTTTTTGAGACAGGGTTTCTCTGTGTAGCTTTGGAGCCTGTCCTGAAACTCCTGAAAGTCATCCTGACTTCTACATATGTATGGCATGCACTCGCTCATATATATGCAAAGAAAAGCCCTCACTTTTGACTCAATAAAAATTAGCTAATTGTTCTGGGTAGTGGTGGCACGTCTTTAACCCCAGCACTCAGGAGGCAGAGGCAGGAAGATTCAAGGCCATCCTTGTCTACAGAGAGAGTTCCAGAACAGCTTGAGCTACACAGTGAAACCTTGTCTCAAAAAACCAAAAGAAAGAGAGAGAGAGAAAGAAAATTAGTCTTATAAAAAGTTAGTACGTAAGTCATCTCACATCACCAGTATATCCTAGAAGGTGCCAAGTACATCTGAACTTTTTGAGAAAATTATTAAGAAGTGGTAACCTCTCTTGCTCACTCTTGGTGTAGGGAATGATGAACCCAGGGCTTTCTAAGACAGAGTACCACTATGTGCCTCTAACTAGCCTGGAACTCACAACCTTCCTCTCAAGTGCTGAGATATAGGTATGTGATATGATACCATGCCCAAGACAAAAAAGTAGTAAGATTTTTTTTTTTTTTTTTTTTTTTGGTTTTCCGAGACAGGGTTTCTCTTGTGTAGCTTTGCGCCTTAAGAAGCCTTTACACATTTAGTACAAAGCCTAAAATCAACACCAGGTGCGGTGGCTTGTGCCTATAATGCTAAAGCAGGAGGCAAGAGGATTGCTAAGAGTTCTAGGCCAGCTTGAGCTATATAAAGGAAAAAACAATCCTAAAGTCAAAAGCAATTTGATTAAGCTTTCAAGTTAGAAAATTCTCTTCAAATTTCTAGGTAAAAAATTTTGTATATCATGTCAGCATCTCAAAAAGATCTTTTTCTCAAGAGCTCTTTTTAAACTAAACCAAAAAGAATCACTTGGCTCATAGCCCTAGCTGAGATGAAGCTTAACATATGGCTGAACTACATAGTTTGGGTCAGGAAGAAACAAGACAGAAGTACAATTTGTGCTCTAAAGCTGAGCACACATATGAAATGCTGTGTGGGGGTGTGATGTATTACTCCACTCTACCAGATCTTCTTGGCAACGAGTGGTATAATTCTGAACAATCTTGGCCTCATATTATCATGAATATGCAAATTGGGGAACCCACATAATATAAGGACACAGACACGATCATTTAAGAATTGTTGGAATGTTATTCTATGATTTGCCAAAGGTTAAAATCAGATGTTAATGGGCAGGTGTGGTGGTGCACACCTTTAATTTCAATACCAGGGAAGCAGAGGCAGTCTGATCTACATAGCAAGTTCCAGACCAGTTAGAGCTACATAGTAAGAGCCTGTCTTAAAAAAAAAACAACAGCACAAAAGCACAATATAAAATCAGATGTTACCAGTGAAGGATGGAAAGTAGGCCATGATTATGTCTAAATTCAATTCACAATATAAATTTGTTGTTCAAGGTCTTCGGTTTTTCTGTTCAAATTTAAAGTGTTCATTTTTATAATTATAAATTTATAAATTGTCTTCATATTTTTAAGATAAAATTGTAAAAAGTATGATAGAGTATACAGCTCAGTGGCAGAGTGCTTATCTAGCATTTCCTAGGCCCCACTCCCCAATACCAGGGGAATAAAATGGGGTGTGGTGGGACTCTTCTGTGGGACTAAAAGGTAGAGGCAAAAATTCAGGAATTAAGGCAATCCTATGCTATCTACTAAGTTCCACATCAGCCTGGGCTATTTGACAGCTTATCTCAAGAACAAACAAAAGATAAATAAACAGCATGTAAGACTTCATGCAGTCTTATGGATACGCCTATAGCTCAGTGGGAGAGATTGTATTTGGCATGCCAGAAGTCCTCCGTTCAATTTCCAGTACCCAAAACCAAAACCAAACAAAATCCCCATAGTCCCTACACGCAAAGATTTCACAAAATTTTAAAGACAAAAACATCTGATTTCAAACAATAAACAAAAATATCTTGATTCATAAGTTACTAAACAAGGTCAATTAATTCTGATTATTATAAAGTAAGCACATTACTGTCATATGCCCAAAGATTTGAAAGAAACACTTTGGAGGAAAAATACTTTACTAGGGAAGAAAAGAATAAAAGCTATACATTCAGGTTTGCATGCAATATTATAATTATCTTCTAGAAAACAGTTATTATAGGAGAAAGGGAAAAAATATTCATGCCTGACCCAGTTATGTTTTAGTGAGTACCCTTCCGAGTAATCTTTTAGACTGACTCATGCAGTTTCTATCTCCAGAGGCTACTTGCAACAAGTCCGGTAACTTCCTTTTCAAAATATAGACTGTAAGGGCTAGAGAGGTGGTGGAGTAGTCAAGAGCTCCCATTGCTCTTGCAGAGGACTGGGGTTCAGTTCCCAGCATCCACATGGTGGCTTACAACCACCTGTAATTCCAGTTCCAGGGGATCCAATGCCCTCTTGTGACCTCTGTGGGCACCAGAGATGCACGTGTTGTACATACATATGTGCAAAAACAGGCAGGAAGACTACTCACATAAAATTAAATAAATAAATAAATCCATTTTTTAAAATTAAATAAAGCTGGGAGTGGTGGCACACTCCTTTAATCTCAACACTCAAAAGGCAGAGGCAGGCAGATCTCTGTGAGGCTCAAGGCCAGCCTGGGCTACACAGGGACAGCTAAGGACAGCTAAGATTACATAAAAAGACACTCTATAGCCGGGTGGTGGCGCACGCCTTTAATCCCAGCACTTGGGAGGCAGAGGCAGGCGGATCTCAGTGAGTTCGAGGCCAGCCTGGGCTACCAAGTGAGTTCCAGGAAAGGCACAAAGCTACACAAGAGAAACCCTGTCTCGGAAAACAAACAAACAAACAAACAAAAAGACACTGTATCATCACCACCACCACCGCCGCCAAAAATTTTGTACATGATATGGCTTTCTCTTTTCTTTTTTTTCCGGAGCTGAGGACTGAACCCAGGGCCTTGCACTTGCTAGGCAAGCACTCTACCACTGAGCTAAAGTTCCAACCGCTTTTCTTTTTTATGCAGTCTTATTGTCCTAGTCTGATCTGGAACTATACAGTCCATGTTACCCTCAGTCTCCTGAGTGCTGGGATTAGACATGTGCCAACATATCTAGCCACAATATGGATTTGAAAGAGCATTAGAAGGTGACATGTAATGCAGCTTTCTTAAAAAAAAAAAAAAAAAAAAAAAATGCAGTGTCACTGACCAAGTTCAATATTGCCCTACATACTGCCTCAGTTTCCTCCTTTATTAGAGCACTTCCATACCAAGTTCTCTAGGTTATGCCAATTAATCACAAAGCAGAAAGGCTGGCATGAATCTGACATTTTTTGAAGTTCAGAATAAAAGGCTTCATAGCTTTCAATGGCCTATTTTAAAGAAAAGGAAAGCTGGTTCATTCACTTGCTCAGCAGCTTTAGAAACAAACACAAAGGCTTCATGCTGCCATGATTTTATTTTAAAGAACAATACTTGTGAAAGGCAGGTAAATACATGGGTAATAAAAGGGAAAATGGCAGACACAATTTCATGCAAGAACTATATTAAGCAACTAAGAAAAACCATCCTATTTCCCACATATATTAGTCCTAACGCTAACCTCGAAAGTTTTCCTATTGTCCTGATTTTATTCCTCTTTCAATCCCTTCTGGGAACACGGAGTACCACCTCCTTCTTCATAGCTAATAAGTGATTTCAAAGAGTATCAGAAGGCAGCAATTCCTTGGCCACCTACATGCTCCAGGTGCATTCATTCCATAATTTAAATATACAAAGAATTCTCTCTGCAGCTCCATGTGCAGCATTAACAATGTGTTTCTATGTTTGCTCTAACTGATGTCAAACACAGCAACACCTCAGGCTGGGGACTAATGCAGAAACCATTAAGTGTTCAGTGCAATTAGAATGATATTCTGAATTATGAACTGATTTTGATACTGACCTTTGCTTTTGTTCCCAGTGAAAAATAAGCCTTATTGTAGCAGCATGTCCCCAGCTTTCCCCTAAAAAAAAAAAAAAAAAAAAAAAAATTAACTATATAGTACTTTTAGACTATAAAACTATAACATTAAAAACTATAGTATTTTTTTAAGTTACTTAAAATGTCTCTGGCCAAATACTATCTTATATTACCAAATTATATTAAGAATATTCTTGGGGGCTGGAGAGATTGCTCAGCAGTTAAGAGCACTGGCTGTTCCTCCAGAGGTCCTGAGTTCAATTCCCAGCAACCACATAGAGGTTCACAACCATCCATAATGAGATCTGGTGCCCTCTTCTGGCCTGCAAGCATGCATGTAGGCAGAACACTGTATAATAAATAAATAAATAAATTAAATAAATAAATAAATAAATAAATAAATAAATAAATAAATAAATAAATGTATGTTTTAAAAAAATATTCTTGGACCAGGTGATGGCAGCACATGCCTTTAATCCCAGCTCTCAGGAGGCAGAGGCAGGCGAATCTCTGTGAGACCAGTCTCAAGACCAGTCTGTTCTACAGAGCCAGTTTCAGGACAGCCAGAGCAGTTACACAGAGAAACTGTCTTGAGAAACTAAAAAAAAGAAAGAAAGAAAGAAAGAAAGAGAGGGAGGGAGGGAGGGAGGGAGGGAGGGAGGGAGGAAGGAAGGAAGGAAGGAAGGAAGGAAGGAAGGAAGGAAGGAAGGAAGGAAGGAAGAAAAGAAAAATATAATAATATTTACTTTAAAAAAAATTCTTGGGTTTTGGCCAGGCAGTGGTGGTGTACACTTTTAATCCTAGCACTCAGGAGGAAGAGGCAGGAGAATCTCTGAGTTTGAGGCCAGCCTGGTCTATAGAGTGAGTTCCAGGACAACCAAAGCTACACAGAGAAACTCTGTCTCAAAAACGAAACGAAACAAAACAAAACAAAAAAATCAATCAAACCAAAGAAATGTTCTTGGTTTCAAAACCTGTAGGATATGAGTAAGATCCTTTTTCTTTCTTTCTTTCTTTTTTTTTTTTCCAGAGCTGAGGACCAAACTCAGGGCCTTGTGCTTGCTAGGCAAGCACTCTACCACTGAGCTAAATCCCCACCCCCATGAGTAAGATCCTAAGAGTGACAGAGCTTTAATTATCTAGGAAAGCAATGCAAATCATTATTCTCTATTGTTTCATGGACAGGTTACAGTTTCAGTGCATTACCAATCTTCCACTCCATAAAGCCTACTACGTATTTTTAACACCCAGTAACAGGGTCTCATTTGGTCCTAACTGGCCTAGAACTCGATATGTAGACCAGGCTGGCTTTGAAATAAGAGAACTCTGCCTGCTTCTACCTCTGGAGTGCTGGGATTAAAGACATGTCATCATGGAGATTTCATTAGGCAGTCCAGGCTTGCCTGGGACTTCTGGGCTAAAGTGATCTTCCTACTTCAGCCTCATGAGGAACTGGGGCTACAGCTCTTTATCATGTTTGGCACACAGAGTGTTATTGGACTTCAGTAGAGATAGCTCTTGAAGCATTGTGTTCTGATAAAATCACAGTAGGAATATACCTGTTTGCACTAGTATGATTTGTATTTAAATAGACTCATTCTCCTTCCTGCCTAAGACTGCCGGTTTGGGCTTTTTAAAATTGATGTTTCATTTTAAGCAGTCAGTGCTCTTAATGGCTGAGCCATCCCTCAGGCTCCTAAGACTGAGGGGTTTGTTTGTTGAGACAGGGTTTCTGTGTAGCCCTGTTTCTCCTGGAACTCTCTGTAGACCAGGCTAGCCTCAAACTCAGAGATCCACCTGCCTCTGCCTCCCAAGTGCTTGATTAAAGGCATGCGCCACCACCGCCCAGCAAGACTGAGATTTTAATGTCTAAAATCCTATTTTGAATATTTACTTCTCAGGTTTCTAACATAGTTGCCAGATAGTAGGTACTCAATAAATGTCTGTTAAATTATGAAATGGTAGGTGAGCATCTCAGGACACTGTGCTCAGTGATCAGATGTGTCAGTGAGTAAAGCAGCCTCTACTTAAAAGCTTATAGTATTCAAACACATGAAAAGGTAGGAAAACATTACAACAAAAATGTTTTATCTACTTCATTTACCCACCTAATGCAGGGACAAGTAATGCTTGATTTTTATCAATCTTTGTTGTCATCTGATTAGTTAAAATAACCTATAAAAGTAAAACATAAGAAAGTTAGGATATGCTTGGTGGTGGTAGCATATGACTTTAATTCTAGCACTTGTGAGTTTGAGGCCAGCTTGGTCTATAGAGATGGTTCCAGGATAGCCAGAGCTATTACAGAGAGAAACCCTATCTTGAAAAAAGCAAACAAACAAGTTGTATGTAAACAGTCCTATGAGCTTAATATTCTGAATATAACAAGTTAAAAGAAAATATATTAGAGACTGGAGAGATTACTTAAATTCAGGACCCAGATTCAGTTTCCAGACTCACATGATGACTCACAACCACCTCTACCAGTGGTTCTCACCCTTCCTAATGCTTCGACCCTTTCATACAGTTCCTCATGTTGTGGTGGCCCCAACCACAAAATTATTTTTCATTGCTATTTCTTTTTCCTTTTTTTTGAGCTGAGGATCAAACCCAGGGCCTTGTGCTTGCTAGGCAAGCGCTCTATCACTGAACTAAATCCCCAACCCTTTCACTGCTATTTCATACCTGTAATTTTGCTACTGTTCTGAATCATAAAGTAAATATCTGTGGTTTTGGATGATAATTTGGAGGTCACAACCCAGAAGTTGAGAAGCTGATTTATAACTTCAGTTTCAGAAGACCTGATGCCCTCTTATGGCCTCCTCCAGCACCAGGCACACATGTAGTGCACAAACATACATGCAGGCAAAACACATACAAATTAAATAACCTTTTAAAAAATACAATTTTTTGTGAAGAAAAAGGAAGAGATGAGGGAAATATGCTCACTTCTCTGAAAATTTGAAAGTGCTGAGATTAAAGTTGTAAGTCACCAACACCTGGCATATATGTTTTCTTTCATAAATTGCCTTGGTCAGGGAGGGACTGGGAGGACAGGAGGGAAGGGTAACTTTGGTAGGAATGTAAAAACTAACTAACTAACTAAATAAATAAATAAATAAATAAAGTATTCCATTTAATAAAATTTAAAAACATTAAAAAAAATAACTAAGTTGCCTAGGTTATAGTGTTTTGTCACAGCACTATGGAGGCAAGACAGCTAGGCATAGTGGTACATGCCTTTAACCCTGCACGTAGGAGGCAAGAGGCAGGGGCAGATAAATCTCTGTGGGGTTTTTTGCTGTTTTTTTTTTTTTTTTTTTTTTTTTCCCCCAAGACAAGGTTTCTCTTCTTGGCTGTCCTGGAACTCACTCTAGACCAGGCTGGCCTTGAACACAGAG